GACAGATTTGATCTTGGAAACGACTACCATCAGCTCAAGGAAGCGATCGCCAAGCTAGTGGAGGAGTGGGAGATTCCAAAGGAGCTAGCGCCTGACAGCGAATCCAAGAACTTCAGTAACCGAATGACGACTCGAAAGAGTACGCGAGGCAGACCAGTACGACACGTGAGTGAGAATCTGGGCTCACGCAACCCATACAATGCGACACAAAGTCAAAGTCAACTCAGCAACATGATTGCAAGCCAGCGCAACGTTTCCTCGCGCCGCTCTCCACAACACCCGAGAGGAGGTAGCAGCAGCAGCAGCCCACAGGTTACTGAAAAACAGAGCAACGCCTCTGTCCTGGTCACCATGCTCGAAACGGCCATGCAACAATGCCAAGCACGTTCCGACTTTGTCAATGCACACATGTACTTCAAGACGCTCCAAAGTCTGCGAAGGCTCACCTCGCCTACCCTGGTCAAGAATGGCTATGCTGCACTTCTCAATTACTTTTCTCGTGGGCCTCGCGATCTGCTTAGCAAGGCTGCCAATGCCATTGAAGAGTTCGAGGCCTGGTTTGTTTGGCTGAAGCAGTCGCAGGAGCGTTCCGACGCAATGATTGAGGAAATGATGCAGACATTCAAAAATATGCGCGACAAGATGTGGTACATTTCTGACGTGCGAGGGTCCAAGCCCTACGCAGAAGCCCGAGATGTTGCCATTGCGCTGAAGATTATGGGACAGCAGTCGAAGACGCTGGACGGCAAACCCCCCGGTCCCCGATCACGCAACTATTCCAAGTCGTCGGCCAACAACTTTTTGCTGAAGAATGAAGCCCAGCTCGTTGACATCATGTCAGCTTCCCAAGACTTTGGGGGGCCCAACAAGCTATCTGATGAGCAGTCACAAATTACGCTCAAGTGGCTCACAGACTATGGCGTCGAAAATTTTTGCAAAGGAGAAGAACGTATTCATCGCTTCTGCCTCGAAGTCGACAAGTGTGTCAACACAATCATTGGCGAGGGTCTGCTGGATGGTCCCGTACTCTGGGCTAGTGACTTGTACAAGCGAGACCAGCAGGTCCTGGAAAGTGGACGGCAAAAGGGTGACCTCTTCCTCACTGGTGTCGGCACACTGTCGATTGCAGGCGATGAAGAGTACGAAACTCACGGACAATCGGGCCCGCGCAACCTCGACTTTGCCAATCGCCCAAGCCATGGCAGCCTACGATCGGTTGCCAATCGCAATGATAATCAACATGGCTTTGACCAGAGCCCCTGGGGCGGCCGAAGTCCTGTTGAATCCTCTCATGACTACTTTAGCGGATCATCATCTCTTCCTTCGATGGACTCTGTAGCCACCTTCTGGTCTCCCTTTCAGACACAGGCCCAATCTCCCACCAACACTACCAGTATTCGCCCGCGGACTGCATCCTCGTCCAAAGGCACAGTTATGCTGAAGCAATCCGCCAGTGTCAACGAAGACAAGCGCCGCTTCATGCTCGACTTGAAGCAGACGCTCACAGGCTTGTTGCTGAGCGACTTAGGGACCATGGTGTTTGCGTCTGGAAGTGAGACGGACTCTTGGTTCGGCGGCGACTTGCTGGAGGATTGCATACAACGCAGAGAGGAGGAGGAGCGCCAGCGCAAGAAGCAACTGGCCAAGAAGAAGAGCACGAAGAATATGCGCAAGCAAAATCTTCCCGATCATAGGAATGCTGCCCCCCTGGAGGCGCTTGGTCGACCTGAGCGGGGTCTAGCTGCGCCACCTGTTGCGACGTACCAGAATGCTGCCGCCTCGGACGTGCACCACTCGGCTGGTGAACACTCTTCCACTTCAAGCGATGCCACGTCGCGCTCGTCTGGCCATTCGGCGGCCAAGAAGGCAGGCTTGCTAGAGTTTCCCTACAACGTCGCCTTCCGACGATTGCTCAACAGGTTCGAGACGCACCCCAATCCCTTCGCGAAGCTGCATGCTCTGTATGAGCTAGAGCAGCTCATCATCGCCTCGCTTTCCTCCCGTTCAGGTCGTTCGTACAACAGCCGCCGTGAGACGCTACCGCCTGTCCCTCAATCACCAACACTCGGTGCCATGCCCGAGCTTAGCTCCCGTGAGCCGGCCACGCACACCTCTCGCGCACAAAATCTAGAGCAGGCTATTGCCAACTGTGAGGAGCGTCGATCACACAGCATGACGGTGGAAAGGGCAAGCAATGCCTCACCCTTGCCCAGTCGCAGCGGAGCCCGCTCTCCTGTTGGAATGCCGAGCACTGACATGATCGTTGACGTAATTCAAGGTCTGTTCCGGGACGCCAACATTCGTCCAAAGACGCTCTTTAGAGATCTTCAGTACATTGCTTCCTTCGTTCCAGCTCAGATGCTGGACAAGACCGCAAGAGGGAAAGCTTTTTGGGACGTTGGTCTCGCTGCTCTGGGCCTCAAGCAGGATGTCTGTCGCATAATGGTTGAGCTCGTCGACGAGGTCATAACGCAGAATTCCAAGCGTGACGCCGAAGTCAAGCAAAGCAATGGCGGCGCAGCCGAAAAGGCGGGGGGCATCACAGCTTCCTTGCCTCCGTCGATCGACGAGCCAATGTCGAGGTACACCATGGAAGATGCTGCACGAATGCTCCTCATCACGGCCAAGGAAGGAGATGCTGTGGCTGAGCGAGAACTCGCCATTTTCTATCTCACCTCCCCCGAGCTTGTACACAGGACCGTGCTGCCCCTGACCAAGCCAAGTGATGTCTTCAAGACAGAGTTGCTCAATCGTGAGAGGAAAGCGTCGCAGGACCCAACTCGAAGCGATCCAATGACCATGTGTGTTGCCCAACACTGGATGGAGCAGTCTATGCGCGGCGGCGACCACCTCGCTGCAAAATACTTGCGCCAGCGCAGCGAGCTCGAGAACATAAATCCTCCAAGAGCACAGTGAGATTGCGTTCTCTTGTTGCATCTCTTTCCTCCTTGCTCGACATATTTCCAACGATACCCCGACCTCAGTATGCATGATTGCCCCTTTTATTTCTTGAACTTTTTTTTCAAGCCCATCGCATCCGAGCACTGCGCGACTTTTCACACATGGACCAATATGCATGCATAGCGAGGGTGTTCCATGTTTCTATTGCTCGCACACTTTTACTTTCGGCATCGATTCTTTCCGTTAGCATGATTCCCCCTTGTTTCTTGGCTTTCTTCTTACTCTGACTTACTCTTACTCGTCATCTCATGAACTACCTAAACCGGATTTGCATGGATGAGTGCCAGTGGATCCATGGCCATACATTGTGGTGTACAGGACTAATTGATTGAGGATCTTACGAGGCGTTACACTGGTTTATGAAGTACTAGAGATATCCTATAGGGCGACGAATGCATTAACGAAGAGGATAGGTACATTGGGGAGATGTAAGCAACGAATCTCCTTTGGCGTGCATGGGGTTTGGGTTGGTATACTCTGCTTTTTTTGTACACGGATTCGCACGCCACATCAGTAGACCTCCCTGGCACGTGAGTTGAAATGAAGAATGATTGAAAACTTTGCTTTGCTCTCTCCATGTTTCCTAATCATGTGACTGTCCCCGTTTGATGATAGGCTTGCTGAAACCGTTTGCTTGTGTACCTATACCAAGGGTGGGCCACCTACATGTTGACTGATAACAATAGGCTTGTTGACACTTCAAGTCACACCTACTCTAATCCAACTCTAAACGTCATTTTGGACTCGAACCATAGCTCTTACCGAAAAAGCACACACTTTCTTCTTCTACCAGCCATCTCGCCAACTATGGACCCAACAGCACCTCGGATTCGAGCAGTATTCACTGGGGCACACTCCAAGAGACCTGTAGCAAGCAATGGAGCATATCTGTGGGAAACTGTAAGAATGTTTGCTAGCTATGCGTCGCCGGACGCAGAATTTCCTATTGCCAGGTCCTCCCAACTTGACATGGGTAGAAAGAACATCGCCCACAAACACCCATCAACGCCATACTATATGCACTCAAGCAAGCCAATACATACAAGGATCCATCTGAGCAACAAAAATACAACTCATCGTAACATGTATGCCAAGTTTGGTAGTCTACTCAAAATGTCTCTAATCGTTTGTTCTTCCTCGTCTTTTCTTCGTTGCGCGGCATTCGTCGCACCAGTCAACGACTGGATCGGCAATGGTGAGGCTCGTGGCGGAGAGCGAGCATTACTTTTTGACGAGGCTCCACTTGATGACCGTGCTGATCTTGCGGGAGTCTCGAATATAGAGAACGCATCCGAATCACCCAGCTTTGGTTGGGCGGGTACCGGTACGGGCTGAGCGGACTCGAAGAAGGAGAAGTCTACATTTGCCCACGCATCAGCTATGGGTTGCTGTGATGCAGTGTTCGTTTGCAGAGTGTCTGTACCCGCTGGAGGCGGAGACGATGTGACAGAAGCAAAGGTAGAGCTTCCGTCATCTTCCGTTGGTGCGAATGCTGGCTCAAGGTGCGGAATGTCGATAATTGTCTCGTCACATGGTGCACCAACTGGGTCTGCACAATCATTCTCTGACTTGTGTAACACAGCAAAGTCGGCAGGTAGTACAGACGATGGCTTCTTCGGATCATGGTCGAATATGACCATTTCAGGTCGTTTGACCGGCTTCAAGATTCCTGGACCAACAGGACCCTGTTCTACACCCAATGAAACGAAAGACCTGGGTCCAAAGATGGCCGAAGTTGGAGAAATGGTGCCTTTCAGGCGCGTAATGTGCGAGGTCTGCATGGTATCTGCAGGCTGCTTTTGCACGAAGAATGATCGGTTCGACGGTGGTGTCGCAGGCAGTGCGGGAAGGGTGTCGCTAGCAAGTGCAGCTTGCAAAATCGTTTTTGAAGTTTCAAGTTGTGTTGGGATTGGACTGCCTACCATCTCTCCCCATTCATCGTCATCCTCTACTGGAGCAACAGCAGCACCATCATCATCAGTTTGCTTTATTTTCGTATCGATACTGCCGGAGGTGTTAAGTGGTTCTGTGAGCGCTGGGAGCGAAGAAGTTATAGGAGGTGGTGCAATTGGATCTGCTGCGCCCATGGTTTCAAAAGGTTGGATTGAAACTATTTCGCACATCCCTAAATCTGGGGATGTAGTTGTCACCGAAACAGCCCGACTCTCTCGATTTAGCTGACATGCCTGGACTGGGTTTGCTGTTAGAGGTGAAGATGCAGAGCGTGGTGCAGGACTGTCAAGCTTCCAATAGTCGGCGGTCTCAGCAGAGCTCCAATCGAAAGCTGCCGATGCACTTGTGTTCACTGGTGGAAGACTTTGCCTTGCAGGAATGACGGCGCGTGGAGTTGGGACATGAGACTTCGTGCGTGAGTGAACCAACGGTCTCTTGGGCTCCAATGGTGCAGACGTGTCCCAATAGAAAGACGCTCTTGCGCCAGGGCCAGTGCCAGAGAGGCGATCCTCGCGCGCCCACCTTCCTACAACTTTGTTCACTTCTTTTCTAATCTCTGAATTCGCCCACGTAACTCGGATATAATTGTCATCTGCATTGCCGTTGTTGTACTCTCGGAGTGTTTGTTTGCGTGTAAGCCTGTACCAAGCTTTTCGTGCTGCTGTCGAATAGATTGGATCATCTGGTGCCTCTTCGTCTTGTTTGCCTAATTTCTGGAGAGGACGAAAGAGCTCATCCAAGAGTGTTGTGTCAACTCGGAAGATATTGTCTTTGAATATCTGTTGGGCAGGCGCAGGTTCATTTTGGAATGATTGCGAGTCTGGCGATGTATCTTCTTCAATGTCACCAACGTTCGAACCAAGAACATTGTCTTTCTGGGGGACTCTTTTGGTGTTATTTTTCGTCAAAAAGCTGGCCGCTTCGTCGGGCACACCTTCTTGGACGGATTCGGATCTTCCTTTGCCCTCTTGCCGCGACTCCACGGCAGATTCCTCGGGGACATCTAGCCCATGACCCGAGGACTTGTTTGCTCCACGATCTTCTTCAATGGATGTCCGTGGCGATTCTGCTGGTGGCTCATTGTGACTTCTCTCAGAGAGCGACGTAGATGGACGAGCAGAAGAATCATCGTCGGGCTGTATTTGGCCCAAAGATTCAATTGTCGTGTCATGCGGCGAACTGCCTTGTTGGACAGTGGTCGTTGAATCGGATGCTTCTGAAGGTACGCTGTCTGTTCCAGCTCCGGTGCGGTGTTCCTGATGCCAACCGTGACCGTCTACCGGTGGTGTAGACTCGCCATGTCCCTCCACATCCCACTCTCTGCCAACCTGAAATGGATCATGGCCATCAGGGGTTTTTGCATCACCCGTGAGCGCATGTGGTGTCGTTGCGGTCGGTACCGTAGGCTGCGGAGCGATTGCCCAATCGCCGAAGCTGTGATCTTCATTCCCCCATCCTGCGTCATCCAGAAATCCGTTCAGAAGCACCGGCGCCGAGGTGTGCGCCGATGGCAGCGGCGATGTCACCTCGGCCTTCGAGGCAGACGCGTCGTTGGCATTGTCGCTCCAAGGGTCGCCCCAGTGATCCATGTTCCAATGTCCGTGCCAGATTCATAGTGAGGAGCTTCTACGGGAGAAGCATCTCATGGAGAGGCAAGCGCTGTAGTGAGAGCATTGCAGATAGAGGCAGTCGCCAAATGGTGAAAGCCAGGTTGCGTGGAGAGAGCGGAGGTGCCTGCCAAGCCGGACCCTGGTAGACCCGCCCCGTTCGCCTCAAATAGCCGCAGCACTCCGAGACATCCATGGACGGCTGTGGCATGTCATCTTTCACGACTCTGATGTTTTACATGTGACAATTGCAATCACCAGGCGCAACAAGGAATTCTCTCCGCATGAAAAAGAACATCTTCCGCTAGATGGAGATGTCGTCTACAGTATTAGCTTTTTGTTGAGATAATCGCTATGCAAAATAGGCTGAAGACAGAGATTCGGCCTCGACAATATGAACCAATCCCCCAAACGCCGAACGACCATGCGAGAACTGAGCGTCAAGCCGTTGGATGCGTATCCTCATACTCTTCACTGCCGTTTCCGTGGTGTATTCCCTGCCAAACCAATCGCTAAAAAAGAGAGGACGACCATGGGGTTCTGCTATCGGACGGACTCAATCACTGAGATGTCATCAATAGCATCCTCATCCGCGTCGTGAAGGACCTTCTTGAGCCCATTGTCAACCTGTACGGCACCTATCTCCTCCTTGGGAACCCAGATCAACTGTATGACACCAATGAACGCCACAAGACCCAGACCAAAGAAAGCGACTCCAGAACCACCGAGAGAGTAGAAGAGTCCGACAAGCGGGGAGGAAACCGTCCTAGCTAGACAGCAGGCGGACATGGCGATGCCATTTACGCGGCCGAGTACAAGTGGTGAAGGTATGGCCTTCTTCATGAGAATCAACGCACATGGGAACACGAGGATGCCATAGAATGCCTGTAGGACGAGCGAAAAGTAGACACCAGGCGACCAAAACTCATGTGGAAGAGCGGTGATGAATGGGACGATGATGTAAGTCGTCGGGTAGAGGATGATCATCCAGATGAACGTCCTCCAGACACCAGCCCATTCTACAAAGATGGGGAAAATAAAGCCTTGGACGAACAGTGTAATGACGCCATTGACTGCCAGAAACGTACCCACATGTGGCAAGTCCATCCCGAGGCCACCCTTAAAGTCCAAGCCAGTATGGATTGGCTTATCCTGGATGTAAACTGGGAGAATGGAGACGAAAGCCATTTGATGGAAAGCGAAAATAGACATGGCAAGTATGACCATGGCCACAGTCTGATTGAAAGTTTTGCGGGGCTTGGGGGCGGGCTGTCTGCGCATAGGCAATACATCGTGTGGTGCAATCCGAATCGAATGCATGGTACCGAACGAGGAGCGGCGGATATCGAAGCGCTGGTCAAAAGGCATCGGCATGCCCTCCTCCATGAACGACGCGCGCTTACGGATTTGTCGCATGCTGCCTTGAACAGAGATGGAAGCCAAGCGTTCACGAGTAAAGCTCGCAATAGATCCCCTGGGCCGTAACGATCCGGCCATGGAACCACGGACTTCACGGTCCCGAGTATGGGTCTGTGGAGGGAGGAGACGGCTTCTTTCGTTGGACTCGTTGATCGTGTCGAGGTGGTCATGGTAGTCGTGATAATCCGTGGTGCTGTTTTCTTCCTTTTCCTCACGTACCAAGGTTTCCTCTAGGAAGAAGCAACCTTGAATGATGGCTAAGACGATTCCTATGGCCGCTGCGAGATTGGGCAAAAGATACGGGTAACGTCCAAAGAGGCCATCTTGGGCAAACGTATTGGGGAAGAACTCTGCTGGACGGGCCAGGAAGCCGCCCATGGCCGAACCGATGATGCCTCCCAGCGTCCAGACAAAAGGCTGCGTGGCATATGCTTTGGCTAGTCTGATTTAGCATTCCGCTGCCAGATGCGGGAGTGCGCGATTTACATACGTTCATGTGCTGGGTTCTTGACCATTTCAGCAACCATGGTCTGCATGATAGCCACATTTCCATTTAGAGCCCCGCCAATAAAGCGGGCAAGCAGTGCAACCCAGTACGTGGGCGCCATACCGAAGACAATGCTCGACATGGCGACGCCAGCCAAACCAATGAGCGCGACCGGTTTTCGGCCATAGACATCAGAGATCATACCCCACCCTGGAGCCGTCATGGCCTCTGCAATGGCATAAGCCGAGACCAACAGGCCGGCGTAGAAGGAAGCATCGTCTTTGGGAATGCCCAAGTCCTGGACCATCAGCCATGAGTAGGCGAGAATGGAGTTGAAGGCAAGAGGCTCGGAGAATCGGCATATTCCTGTCCGAAGTCAACAGCCGTGCAAGCAGCCCTTTTAGGAGAGCAAGACCATTCGGGGCGGGCATACCAATGATGATGAGCTGTTTGGTGGGAAAGGGAGCATCCTTTGGGTCGGGCGGCATTGTAGCGATATGTGTTGGGAGGACAAGGAGGTTGGGGAGATTTGCATGCGTGCGTATCAAGAGAGACCACCAACCCAGGAGGCTTTGAGGGTTGCCCAGGTGGTGAGTGAGTGAGTATTCAAGTAAGTAGATAGACAGTCGGAAAGGAACAAGTGCCCGCTTATCACAACGGGCCGATGTTTCCCCTCCATCGGATTGACGACCGTGCGCGCGACTACTGTAGGAAGGTAACGAGTGGGCCAAGGGCAACAGTGCCATTTGACGACACAAAATGCGTCCGGCCTACTACAAAGACGACATTTGGAAACCCTCCCAGCCCTAGAGTACCGTACCGTGTCGATTGCTTGCAGGATGCAGCCATGTATCCACATCCATCTGAAAACACCCAGGCTCTCCTTCTCGCCTCATGGCCGTCGCTTGGGGCTACCGTATTGTGTACGGAGGCTGGACGAGGAAATCCCGGCACGAAAGCCTTTCCTTCAGCCTCTGCAGTCCGGCCGTGCATCAAGAAGTTGGACAGAGGACAATAAGCCTTGCCGGTGGCACAAGGCTGCTTGAGCTCGCCGTTCATGGCTACGTCACGACAAATACCAGATTGCCAACCTGGGCTGGACAAAAGACGCAGAGGCAGGGCGCAGACGGGAGCAACCCTGTTCGGAGCATCAGCTTGCTCACCGCACTTTGGCCGCACCATCCACCCCTATGATGGCGTAGAGACAAGGCAAACCCAGCTTTACTCAATCTCCCTCTTGCTGATCAGCAGCAGCCATTCAGAGCACATTCCTGCAGTCCAGCCATGGCCACTGTCCGCGGAGCATTTGACAACCCTTGCATTCCTAGCCATGCTGGAGGTTGGCGTTGAAGCTCGAGTAGGTAGGCCAATAGCATGTCAACCCAAGTCCACAAGATACTACCTACCGCACATTACTTAGTACTTACCTGGTGGCGCCACCAAGCGTCACGCGCTGTCGAGCCTTCAAGCACATCAACGTTGCGCGCCTACCGGCCTAGTAGGTACCGTCTGCTGCTCCCAATATCACTGCACAACCTCAAACACCAATGGCCTAGGCTGGCACTGGCAGCTTTACCACGCGCCTTATCTGCGGGGTGACACGAGGCCCAGTTTCCATCAAGAGAGATTGCATGTATGAATTGCACCCCATCTCCGCCTTACCAGGACCCCGCAGCAGTGAACGGTGTGATGCAGCTGCGGATCATCGCGGTACCGGTACTTGGCAAGCCTACATACTTGGTACTCCACTACTTGCTCACACCTTTCCTCGTGACTGATCTTTTTGCCCAGCACATCGGAAGAAAGATTGACCCCGTCAAAAGCAACCTCAAAAGAATATTGTGGTATACATGGGTGTAGTAGAGAGGTACCGAGTTCCATCCAGTCGAAGCCCACCCTAACGATCATTGCGGCCGCTGTTGTGCCGTGTCTGGGGTCAGCCAATACAATGTGACCCGAGGCGATCTAGCCGCCAGCTTCGCTTATCGATTCCGACACATTGTGTAACTCGCTTGTTATTTATCTGCGAAACGATCAAGTTTCCTTCCAATCTGCCTTCCTTGCCCACTGCCATCAAATTTTGAGTGGAGCGATGCAAGTTCGCTTTCAACCCTACAGGACCGCGAAGAAATCGTTCGTTTCCAGAAACGAACATAGTCATGCAGAGTTCAACGTTTCTGCTATCGCATGCTCCAAGCCACAAGTAAAGACAAGGAAATGGACAAAGACTACAAAAGGGACAGTCCACACAAGCAACCCCTGATCAATTCCATCAGAACAAGGGTAGAGTAGCTAGCTAGCTAGCTATCCCCTCAAGTCTCAAACTTTGTTCTTCAGAGCCATGATGAGAAGCACTAGCCAGGCATGTGTAATGTATGTAAGCAGACACACGTGGTTGACCACATGCACACCATTCAACCTATGCTCAAAAAGGTATAGACTATCCGACACCCAATCCGACTTCCATTTCAACAAGATGGATAATACTTGCCCACAGATCCTTTGATACCCGGGCTTGGAGCTTCGGCTGTAACACATCAGTATTACTCACTTCCTCTGGTTTGCCCACTCACTCGACTTCTTCCATGCTTCATACTCAAACTCGAACACGGCGCCCACTTCGCCACAAGCCCTTATGCGCCCTTCATCGCAAAGAATACCCTTCGCTTGGTTGATCTCGCACATCCTCTTGGCTGCACGTTTCTGCTCATCTGCACGCTTTCCTACCTGCTTGGCTGGATGATGGAACCTGGCTAACCTGGTGAAAGCGCTACGACGTCTTGCGGGGCTTGGATAAGAAGTTGTTGCTGCGCTCGCTCGATGAACCTAAGGCGGTGACTTGGTAGACCAAAGAAAGTCAGGCCTCCGGTACGACTTCTGATTATCATTACGATACGATCCAGAGTGACCAGCGTATCTTATAACATCATGTTTTCGAAAACAGATGCAAAGTCCCTGGTGTCGTCCACAAAATCAATGATTGAGGAACACGGTCTCCTCAGGTAGTAACAAGACAATCGCGAGAGGTCTATAACACTAAGTGGATGCTGTTCTGGTCGCATGAACCACCTGTCGTACACATTGCCCCTGAGAATCGACATGATGGTTAGTGTTTCGGTATGAAATGCTCGATCGATGAGAGCAGGGATCCTAAAATTCAGGGCGTCATTTTCGTGAAATATCAAGCCCCGCCATTCTTGCTCTCTCTCTCTCTCTTACACACACACATATATATATATATACGACTATTTTATAACAACTGTATATTCCAGACTACGCTTGATGCTACTTCCCATTTGCCCGCCCCCACTCCTCAAACTCCCTCTTGTCCTTCTCCTCTGCTGTCTCGGGCGCCACAGCTCCAGCAGAAGCGGCCGGAAGCCCATAAGACCTGGCAACAATACGAACCAGATGATCCATGGTTTCATACAACACCACCGGGGGCGCAGCAGTCATCTGTACAATAGCTGGTGCCAGTGCAGACGGTTGCGGAGCTTGGAGAGAAAGGCCCGAGGCATAGCTTCTGCCAATCAATGGGTCTCGTGGAAAGAGGTGAGATGGCCGATAGCTCAAGTGGGCCTGTTTATCGTTTCCGTCACGTCTTCATCCAGGGAGAGCAAAGGGAATCTCTTAACGTTGTCGACAAAGGCCTCGAGTTCGTAGAAGCTCTGTGCTTCTATCAAGGAATGACCCCTCATCGGAATCATCGAAAGACCAGCTCGGTAACCGAACATTTGTTTATTTTAGGGCGCCGAAGAGTTAGGAGACTAGGCTTGGGTAGAATTGAAAAGGGCGTTTACACGACTCTGTAAGGGTGTTTTTTTACCGCTTCTTTGAATCAGGTGTAAGAGATTGCGTAGTTATTGAGAAGGGCAACCAAGAGAGTAAAGAGATTTAGAGCCAGTTCAACAGTGAAGCGAATGAAATCGGCCATGATTGCCAGGTGATGAAAAAGACTTCACGCCGACCGGGTTTTCAAGTGATGACCACCGGTCAGATACCTCTTGATGATAATGATTTCAACATGAGGCTCAAAAAAAGATCATCTGCTATTGTGGAGTCCAGTAATGCACATCATCTTGGTGAAGGGTTCCACATTCACTCTCGGTACCGTACATGTACATGAGCCACCATGTGGATGACGAGTATATCAAAAGAGAAGCAGCAATGGAATGCCTTGATAGGTCGGTCATCACAAAACCGATTGAAGCTGCAGAGCCAATGCATGCTTACTCTAGCAAGCGCCCTATGCACGCTCATGATATCAGTGAATAGGGGTGGGTGTGGGTGTCAAGAACAAAGGATGGAACATAAACGACACAGGGAACCTGTGCTTGGGACGCCCAAGAGAGTTCGAGGGCGGATTTCGGATTGTGAATCGTGCATTCTTTTCCATGTTGTGTCTAATGTATCCAAAGGGTATCACTTCCTAGTGCGCCCGAAAATGCTCATGAAACCTTCCTTGTCTGCTGCATAGCCTGTTGAAAGCTCAACATCAGACATGGCTATCCCCTCTGCCTCCCTCCATCCTCGCCCTAATATCCCGAACAAGGGCTTTTGCATCCTCAACCTCGACCCCATCCTGACAAAGCTCATTGGCCAACTCCATGGCCCTCGCATACATGCCGCGCATATACTCCCATCGCGAAAGCCACAGCCTCGCCTTACTTGTCGTCGCTGTAACGCCGACCCCGCTCGCATCCGCGCCCTCCTCACCCTCGGGTCCCTCCTCCTGGGCCAGCACCAATTCCATGTAAGCCGCGGCCTCGTTCATATTGTGTATCCGCTCGTATAGCAAGGCAATCTGATAGAGGACCTCTGGATCCAGGACGCCACCGCCGAGACCAGACACCTCGCCACTACCAAAGGAGCTCCCGACACCGGCATCATAGTAAGATCCTGCGACGAGTGCACGCTTGTATGCGCGGATGCCATTCATAATCTTGCCGACTTTGCCAAAACATTGGCCGACTGCCATCCAGAGCTTTGGATCGTAGGGGCGCAGCGCGGCGGCGCGTTGATGGTAGAAGAGGGCATACGAATGCATCTCCAAGACCTCATACGTCTGGCCTAGACCGTACCAGGCGCGGTAGTCTTTGCGATTTACATCGACGGCGCGGCGGTAAGACTCAATGGCAGCATGCGTATTCTTCATCTCTACAAACTCGTGGCCCATGAGCGTCCAGGCAGACAGAAAGGTGCGATCGAGGGTGAGGGCGCGGCGGAAGTACATGACAGCCTTTTCGTGCTCCGACTTGAGCGAGTAGAAGTTTCCGACGACACAACATGTCTCTGGGCGGAACTTGTCGGTTGCGGTGGCGAGTTGGGCGAGGAAGGCGAGCTTGGGGCGCATGCCCATGACATAGAGAATGTTGGAGTAGTTGTCGAGGTGGTCGACACGATGTGGATCGGAGATGAGGAGGTCGGAGAAGATTTGCTCGGCGTCGTCAAAGTCTTTGTTATGGTAGTGTAAGAGGGCGCGTTGGGTTTTCAGAAACGCCGAGGTGGGGAAGATGTCGAGTATCTGGGACAAGGAGTGATGAATCTGCTCGTTGACCGCATACAGTTCCTGGGATGCCGAGACGTGGAAGATGAAGGTCATGAGATTTTGGGGGAGGCGCGTGACGAGCTTACCAAGCTCCTCGACCGTATTCAGTAGGCCCTGCAGTTCCTGCCAGGCTGCCCAATTGAAGGTGTAGTGGTGCACGCTCTTGACCAGGTAGTCGACGGCCAGCGCTTCGTTTTTGCCCTTGGCCAGCACCATGCCGTAGAGGTACTCGAGCCAGCCCTGCGGTCGGCGGCCGCTGGTAGGCAACTTCTTGAACCATTCTTCCAGCACGGCGGAGACGGCGGGGAGCTCCTTGTTCAGCGTGACGCCACCATCCTGGGGCCCCAAAATCATCTCGCTGTCTTCGTTCATGCGCTTCTCGCCTGCCAAAAACTTGGCATACAGGGCGAGGAAGAGGGATTTTTGGCTGAGGGTCGTGGGCAAGGCGGCTGTTGGCTGTGGTTGTGCTTTGCCTTGTGAAGGAAGGCGCGGGAGGGGCCCGGGGAGGAAGACGGCGGCGCATCGATCGAACTCGCGGCAGTCAAAGTACGTCTTGGCGAGGAGGAAGCGGTGGGCTTCGCGAGCCTCGAGCCGGGCCTCGATGGGGTCTTTGGTGATGCTCATGGCGGGCGTGGGTGTGGCGGGGGCCGGTGTGCCAGACATGGGCGAGCCGACATCTGTGTCCGAGTCGGCGTGGTCGTCGGCGGCGGGGAGGGAGTTGAGCAGTTCTGCAGCCCTTGGTCAAATGAATATCAGTTCAGACAAGCGACGGGCGTTGCTTTTGCTGTCATGCATGTGGGAATCGTTCGAACACACCACTTGGCTGAATGATATAGACAACGTTCCGTCGACGAGACGACAGCATCCTGCAGCTGGGCCTTGAGCTGGGCCTCATCAGCTGGGGACAATGCGCCCATGGCCAATTCTCTCTACCTAGCAGGATGTGGGCCGGTCACTGGTACTAAACAGGTGTGTGTGTGTGTGTGTGTGTGTGTGTGTACCATGGGGTGCGACAATGGAGAGAGATTCCGAGAGATGGAGGGACGCGTCTGTTGATGCTTGGGGCTTGGCCGCAACAATGAACAGTGTGGGGGGTAAACACCAAACAAAATACACGTAACAAGGGTCCCAACGGCCAAATGTACCGCCGACCGCCGCCCCTCATCCTCCGAGCGAGGCTCCGAAGCTCCGCGAGCCTCGTGCCCGCCCACTCTGCGGCCTGCACCTGCCACCTGCAACAAATGCACCTGCCACCTGCCACAATGCACCTGCCCCGAGGAGCTGGTGGCGACTTCTACATGTTCAAGATTTGGAAGTCACGTTAGTTGGACATGGGTACCTGACAGCACGTGATGCACGATGCACGGATGCACGTGATGGCTGTTGTATGCCATGTACCTCGAGTACAGTATGTGCTAGACAACAGTCGACGTGGACTGTAACGTTACTACCCAGGCCCATCGTGGCTACCCTCTCCCATCTACTCTACCAGGTCTTCCAAACTCCATGTTGTGGCCCGGTGTAGACTTGTAGACTTGGATATACTTGATGTCGGCGAGCTCTGTGTACATCATGCCGGCACTCGTAGTATGCGCAGACCTAGCACTGATGTAGATAGAGGAGTGAGTACTCTAGATGTGTTGTTGTCACTAGTACCGGCACCAGCCAGCCTACCTCCGTACACTAGAGTACAATTGGCATCGGAAGCCAGCCCCCACCCAACTGGCCCATCGGAAATTACCAGCTGCATGCACAACAAATCCTCCCCCCCCCCACCAACCCTTTTTCATCACCCCTCCCCCTTCTGATTTCAGGACTGGACATCAAAATCAGAAATCCTTGGGAGGGCATAGGAAACAAACAAACATCCAGACCTCCAGACCTCCAAACCTCCAAACCTCCAAACCTACAACAATTACACAACCAGACAACCAGAAGAAGAAAAAAAAACAAAAAGAAAATGCCCCCGCGAACCACATTAGCCGAGTTTGAGAGCGTCTGGCCGCGCATCGTGCAAGACCTGCAGCATCACTGCAAACAATACAATCTGCCTCAGCAGTCGCTTGATTGGTTCACAAAGGTACAGCTGCCCTCCTCCTCCAACAATCAGACCATGCAGTGCCCTTGGTGGCTTGATAGCCAGATGCTCACCACCATCTCCTCCAGTCGCTCAACTACAACACCGTGGGTGGGAAATGCAATCGTGGCATGTCCGTCGTCGACACAACCGCCATCCTCACCGACAAGGCACTGGACCCGGCTTCGGACGACTACTTTGGCCCTGCCCTGCTGGGATGGCTGATTGAACTCCTCCAGGCCTTCTTTCTCGTCTCGGACGACATCATGGACTCGTCAAAGACCCGCCGTGGCAGCCCCTGCTGGTATCTTGTGCCCCAGGTCGGCATGATTGCCATCAACGATGCCTTTATGCTCGAGGCCTCCATCTACGTTCTCCTCAAAAAGCACTTTCGCCAACACAAGAGCTACCTGGACCTGCTAGAACTCTTCCACGAAGTCACCTTCCAGACCGAGTGTGGTCAGCTATGTGACCTCATCACCGCCCCCGAAGACAACGTCAACCTGGACAACTTCAGCCTGGAAAAGTTCACCTTCATCGTCATCTACAAGACTGCCTTCTACTCCTTCTACCTCCCGGTTGCCATTGCCCTCCACTATGTCGGCGCCGCTACCCCGAAGAACCTCCAAACCGCACAGGAGATCCTGATCCCCATGGGCGAGTACTTCCAGGCCCAGGATGATTACCTGGACGCCTTTGCCGACCCAGACGTGCTCGGCAAGATCGGCACCGATATCCAGGACAACAAGTGTTCCTGGCTGATCAACCAGGCCCTACGCAAAGTCAACCCCGAGCAAAGGCAGCTCCTCAACGAAAATTACGGCCAGAAAGACTCGCAAAAAGAGGCCAAGGTCAAGCAGCTGTACCACGAACTGAGGCTCAAGGAATTCTACGAGCAGTGGGAGGATGAGCGTGTTGCAGATCTGAGGGCAAAGATTGACAAAATCGATGAGAAGGAAGGATTGAAGAAGGAAGTCTTCGACGCCTTCTTGAACAAGATTTACAAGAGGAACAAGTAGCGAATGACCGTTTGGGCTGTGCATAACAGGTACTGTACTTGGTCAATCAACCTATCCATGTCTACTCTTTTCTGCAACTGCGTTTGAGTCCCACGGTCTTCCTAGGACTGCTGCCAACCATGTCGACCTTTCCCTCCCAGATGCCGTGTAAGACGGACGTCATGCATCGTAGCATCGCTACTCTGACCGGTAATGGGTAAAATCTACGACTAGATTGCATGGCACGACAAGTGCAATTTATTCACACACACACACACACACACACACAAAACAAAGCTGACGCAATACATGCGGTCCTGTTTAGATTGAAATCTTGAAAGCTTGTTGGTGAGTGGTAGGCCCCGCAATCTTGGGAGCCATTCGGGTAAGATGCAGGTGCTTCCGCGCCTACAAGGTGTATTATAGTGCCTACAAGGTGTATTATAGCGCCTACAAGGTGTATTATAGCGCCCGCAACGGCAGTTCAGCCACGACATCATCGCCTACCACCACCCTGTGTAAGTGATGCGTATTTCAAACCACCCCGGGCCCGCTTCAAACCTGGCCTATACACACTTTCCATCTCGATCAACCCTGACCACTACACCCAAAAAGACAAGCCCAGTGTGGACAATTGGGTGCCCACGTATCTCCACTTTGCAAGATGCGCCTTTTCTCGATTTCAATACTTGCCATCTCCCTTTCTGCCATCTCCCCCTCTCGCGCAACTCCCTGTGAACGCGAATTTCTTGCCTCCTTCACATCTCTATACCTCTCTGCACAAGCTCTCGGCACGCCCTCCCTCCTCACAAACACCAGCTCTCAAATCGCCTCTAATTTTTCATATACTGAAAACTTTCTTCCCCGCAACCTCTCGGCTCCTACCTCTATTCTCTCGACGCCTTTGAATATTACAACCTCACGCTCGATTCTAGACCCAGACCTCTGCAGCGCATTCACAGAAATCATTGTAACGAACGCCAGCCATCCGTACGTCATTGGTGTGCGGGCAGAAGGGGATGGCAAGGCTATATGGAAAGTGGAGACGTTGGTGAGTGATGCAGGGGATTGGCTGTTCAATGCGACAGGAACTGCCTATTGGAATTCGTTGGAGAATTGGCAGGTGATTCCAGCGGATCAGCGCGATACAAGGGAGGTCATCAAAGCGGCTGGCGATGCGTATTTTGATCGCTTTGGAAATGCCAGTGTAGTCGTGCCGTTCGGTGAGTTCTCGTTTAGCACTTGATTGCAGCCTTAGTTCCCTCCCCACCCACCTTCAATACTGTATTAACAAGACCGCAAGGAACACCTTGCGCCCGCCTCGAAGGCGGTGCATACACCGACACACAACGCACCAACACGTCCACTTGCGCCCTGGGTCTGCCGTCGACAGTGCACGTCGTTGACCGGCGGTATGTGGTTGATGTCGAGATGGGAACAGTGAACATCTACGTGGGCTTCCCAGGTTTGGATAGAGCAAGTGAGGAGCCAGCACCCGACAGTCATACTTTCCGGGTAGAAAAGGGTATGTTGAGGTATATTCATACAATCTCGACATGCGATGGACACCCGGGATGTGGATTGAATGGGACCTATGTGCCGCTCAGGACATAGCCATGTATATTCTGTTTACTGCCATCCTATCTTACAATTTTTATTTTCTCTTATCTCGTTGCGCGTCCATCATCACGCCCGTACTTTAAATTTCCATCCCGTAACGCTATATCGCCCAACCACCAGCACACAACTTCCCAGAAATACACTGGCACCCGCGAACAACTGCGCAGCCATGTACTTCCCGCCGTAGCTCTGAATCAGAGCTCCAGCAATCGGAGGTCCAATAAAAGTTCCCAATCCTACCACTGCAAAGCCCTGTCCGTTTCTCGTGCCCACTTTACTCATATCCTTGGTCAGCGTCGTTAGTGCCGCTGGGAATATGCCCTGGAATCCTGCAACAAAGAAGCCGAAAGTGATGGCCCAACCGTAGAGTGCCGCTTCGCTGTTGACCAGTGGCCAGAAGAACAAGATGATAGCAGAAATGAAACAAAAGGGTATGAGGATATTGTAAGGCCCAGTGTACTTGTCGGAGAAGTAGGAGGGGATGATACGGCCAAGAACGCCGACACCGTTGAGAACGAGAAGGACGTTGATGGAGTTACCGTAAGGCAGATGCAGGATATCGACTGCAAAGGTAGAAATGTAGTAGAAGGCGAAATACTGGCCCAAGCAGATGAGGAAAATCCCAATCAGAAACAGACTATACGGTCTCTCCTTGAAAGCACGAAGTTCAAGCAACGGCCCTGACTTCCGCGGCGGCAAGAACGGACGCAGTAACAAACAATAACACGAACCCACAGCCAGCATCATAAATCCCATCACACGCACCGTCCATGCAAACCCAATCTTGGGAAGAAGCTGCCTTGCGATGGTGGGATAAACCAAACCGCCCGTCGCACTCCCCGACGCCATGATGGCCAACGCAACCGCCCTGTTCTTCGCAAAATACGTCGAAACCAGCGACAGGGCCGGGGAAAACTGCATCCCATTGCCCAGCCCATTCATGAGCCCTTGTGTAATCATAAGCTGCCAGTATTCCGTCGCCAAGCTTGTCATGAACATGCCCAGCGCAGCGAAGAGCATGCCTGGCACCATGGAATGGTAAAAGTAACCCGCGTCGAAAAGACGGCCTGTTAGTATACCCAGACTGAAGTGACCGAGCATCTGCAGACTCCCGATCCAGGATA